AGGAGGAGGAGGAGGAGGAGGAAGAGGAGGAAGAAGAAGAAGGAGGAGGAGGTGTGGGTCCTTGGTGCTTTCTGAGCTGGGTTGTTTTCTTGCAGACATTTCATGACCCAACTAGGAAACATCATCAGTGCTGGACAGAAGTGGGGTTGACAGAGTGGAGGAGAAAGAGAACGGGAGGAGGAGGAAGAGGAGGGGGGAGGTAGAAGACAAAATAAGGGAAAAGAAGAGAAGGAGAAGAAAGTTACCAGGATGCAGAAGAAGAAGCTTTTCAAAAGAAAAGAAGAAGAAAGTAAAAGGTTATCTGAAAGCATCCAATAACACAATTCCCACAACCATTCCCAGGTACATTGCTAATCAGTATTTAAAAGAGATCAACGGGACCGATTCCGATCTGAGATCTCCCCAATCCAGGCTAAATCTCTTTTCTACGGAGCATCCGTGGGGAGAGAAGAGTTAACTCCTTTTTTCTTTCCTGTAGCTGCTGGAGAAGCGCTTAAGGGTTTTTCCTCTCTGCGGGTTGCAAAATTCAGCTGTGAGATCATGAAACACATTTTAGGGACGGCTGTGCAACTATAGCAACTTGATATGTGTGTGTGTATATATATATATATATTTCTCTCTCTCTCTCTTTCTTGGCTTTTCAAGAGACTGCCTGAAGTCATTTCCCTTCCACTCAGACAGAGGCTCACGGGGGAAATGATTCATGGGGGTTATAATTAATTCATCCCTCTGGAGAAGAAGGTATAGAGTAGAAAAACCAGGCGGGCTCTGCAAAGGAGGCGTTTGAAGGCCATTCCAGAAAGGATGAACGTTTAGCCTCTGGGGACGTAATTTGGGCAAAGGCAGGTCAAGGGTCTCTCGGGGGTGCAAATCCAACACTCCCCTTTGGACCGGCTCCCTGGAGCTCAGGGCACACGAAAGGAAAAAAAGAGGTGCTGGAAAGAGGGGGGGCGGGAGGCAGATTTTGAAATAATGGACAGAGAAAGGGTCCAGGAGTGGCTGGCTGGGTTGGGCTCTTTCGAAAAAGGCACCAGGAGAGATTTTGAGATGTCCACTGTCTTAGGACAGGGAGTCATGGGTGGCATATGCAATATATTTAATACATAAAGGAATAAAAATGGGAGAAGGAGAAGGAGAAGGAGGAGGGAAGGAGGGAGGAAAGGAGAGAGGAAGGAAGGAAGGAAGGAAGGAAGGAAGGAAGGAAGGAAGGAAGGAAGGGAGGGAGGGAGGGAGGGAGGGAGGGAGGGAGGGAGGGAGGAAGGAAGGAAGGAAGGAAGGAAGGAAGGAAGGAAGATTTTAAGCTATCCACTGTTGTATGACAGTGAAAGGGGTACCATGTACAGTAAATCTAATGAATAAATATAGGAAAAGGCGAAAGAGAAGGAGGAGAGAATGGGGAAGGAAGGAAATATGGAAGGGAGAGAAGGAGGGATGAGAGGAGGGAAGGGGAGGGAAGGGGAGAGGAGAGGGAAGATGGAGAAGGAAGGAAGAAAAAAGGGAGAAAGGAAGGAGGAAGAGAAGGAAAGAAACATAATCAGTGCTACCGATAGAAGGAAGTGGGTTTGGAGGAGGAGGAGGAGGAGGAGAAGAGGAAGAAGAAGAGGAAGAAGAGGAAGAAGAGGAAGAGGAAGAGGAAGAGGAAGAGGAAGAGGAAGAGGAAGAGGAAGAGGAAGAGGAAGAGGAAGAAGAAGAAGAAGAAGAAGAAGAAGAAGAAGAAGAAGAAGAAGA